CCCGATGCCCTGCTCGTTCTCGTCGGGGGTCTGGTCCCGCGGCACCACCACCTCCGCTGCCGTCAGGTTCTGCAGCTCGTTGACCTGTGGGGAAGGGGCAGAGACCACCCCGTCACGCCGCGCCGGAAGGACCGGTTCCTCCGGGGCATCCCAGCCGGGCCACCGGGGAATCCGTCCCCGGGATGTCCCCAGGCACTGGGATGAAGCAGCCACCCTCCCAGGGATGTCCCCCCCCATCCCAGGGTGCTCCCAGCCCCATCCGAGCATCGCTTCTGCTTACAGTTTTGCCCCCTTTGCCAATGACCCTGCCCGCGGCCGAGGCGGGGACGCGGATGTGCGTCTCCAGCTTCACTTCTTCCTTCGGTCCAAAGAAGTTCTCCTCCTTCAGCTTCCCGTAAATCCTCCCTTGCGCCTGCAGAGGGGAGGGAGCACGGAGTCAGGCGCCGTCCAAGATGTTCTACCCGACGCGTCCCCACGGGCACAGTGGGTCTCCATCCCCGGGACGGGACGGCATCCCGTGAAATCCCGGTTCCTTGGGGTTTCCAACCAGCTCGGCCCCTGGGAGAGCTGATGCTGAGTTTACCCAGCTGCAGACCGGTATCACGAAATTGGGGTCACCACCCTGCTCCTCCCTTCCCGGCTCCGGAGAGGGGCACCCCAAATCCCCCGCGGTGACGGCAGCGCAGGGGGAACCTTGAATTGAGCTTCCGGAGGGCCCGTGATGACGACCATGCGCACTTTGGAGTCCGGCGTCTCCGGAGGGGCAATCTGGAGGGGGGAGAGAGACGGCGGCTGCGGCGGGGAGCACCACGGTCAGGGTTCTGGCTGTACCCTCCCTCCCCTGCGCCGCAGGATCGGGCCCCCAGCCCGTCCGCCCAGGCTTTTCAGGTGGGTTTCCTGGCCAGCGAGGTCCCCAACTCGGGGCGGGGGGGGGGGTGTGTGTGTGCTGGCAGAGGGGGGTCCCTACCTTGATAGAGGCACTCGCGAACCGGGAGAGCTGCTTGATGTGCTGGCAGATCTTGCCGATGATGGCGCCGACCGCCTGCGCGGGGATGAAGACGTGCACCGTCTCCTGCTCCGGGGGCTGCGGGGGTAGTGTCATCGCTCAGCGCCACTGCTCAGGGCTCAGCGCAAGCACGAGGATCGGGGCGCCAAGCTCCCCCCAAAATGATGCCCACACCTCTCCGAGGGTGCAGGGCTGAGCCACCACCAGCCCCCGGGGGGTCTGAGCACCTCCTCCACCGCCTTGGCGAGAGTTTAAAAGACCGGATCCTGCACCCATGCTGGACCTGACAGCGCGGGATGCCGACGGCAGGACCCTGACCACCGCGAGGGTCTTCTCCACGCAGGGCAGATCCCCGAGCTGGAAGCAGGAGCGGTTTCAGCTCCCGAGCGTTCACCTACCATGAAGGAGCTGTACGGCGCGGCCCCGGAGACGCTGCTGGGCGGAGGAGGTACTGCGTTGGAGGAGGCAGGGAAGAGGCCAACCGCAGCCAGGTTAAGGCCAGGGATGAGGTGAGATTGCAACTGAGGGCGAGAGGAGAGAAATGCTCATTGCTTTCGTTGGGGCATCCTCCCGGAGAGCTCCCGTCAGCCGAGACGCAGGGCAGGACCGAACCCCACTCACGCTCATGGCGGCCACGTCGTTCTCGTAGGCTTCCCTCACTTTCTTCATGATCTCCTGCTCCGCTTTGCAGCAGTTCTCGATGGAGCCCTTCACCGTGATGGTCCTTTCGGGGTTGTACAGAGTCAAGTCCTGCAAGCTGATGGGAAAGGCAGCGTCAGCGCCGAGCCCCTGCCCGACCAGCGCTACGCCGGGTCCTCCGGTCCTTCTCGTGGGTGCTGGGGACACAGGGTGCCACTGCCACCATGCACTGGGACTGCCCGGTCCCAGTCAGAGCAGGGACCAGCATCACGGTTTGCACTGGGAAGTCCACTCTGCCGTCACCCAAACCCACAGCTTCAGAGTAGAACCCCAGTCCCAGCCATCAAACCGGCCAGTCCTGAGCTCTGCAGCCCTGAAGGGACGGGGAGGGGACACCGACGGGACGGGGAGGGGAATACAGAAAACATAAAGCCGGGATTTTTCAAGGGAGCACCCACAGCGCAGGCTGGCTTCCCAGCGGACGGGCAGGCACCTCTGCCCACTCTCCTCACGTCACCCGTCTCCTCCTCATCCTCCCCACCCGCCGAAGGTCTGCCCTGGTTTCCCCAAAGGGAGCGAGGAGCCTTACGATGAGATGGTGATTTTTGTCTCTGTGTCCTGCTCCACTTTCTTCAAGTTTCGCCCTTCTTTGCCGATCAGGCGCCCCACAAAGTTGTTATGGGCCAAGATTTTCAGAGGCACTTCATCAGCTCTTGAGAGAGGAATGGGTGAAAAACCAACATGGAGGATTACTGCAGCCAGGAGGGATTTGGTTCAGAGGGACGGTGGAAGCTCAAGTCCCCTGGTCCTCCAAGCCAAAGCTCCTGCACGCGCGGGAGCATCACCCAGCCCCGAGCACTGGGACGGTACCAGAGCCCAGCGAAGAGCCGCGGGTGGGCCACACGTGCACAGGAAGGCAAGGGGAAACCTTACGTCTTGGTGTCCTTCGCCTCCTTCTGCATGATCTCCAAAATCATCTTGCAGGCAGCGGAGCAGCCCTCGGGGGTGGAGTGGACGCTGATGGCTTTTTCTGCAGCTCCCGCGTTTTCTTTCCGGTGCACATCGATCCTGCAAGCACGGGATGGGCGCTGGGGCGGGGGAGCAGCTCTGCGGCTTCCTGGCTGCTCCGCTCCCCTTCACGTCCCCGTGGACCACCCGGAGCTCACACCCGAGCGTGAGGTTACACGGACCCAGGGAAGGAGACAGGAGTTAATTCTGGGCTCGATACTCGACATGGACGCAGCGGCTAGAAGCTCAAATCACAGAAATCCAAATAAGGCATCCGCATCTATTTATTTTAAGCGACAGGAATGATTAAGTGGTGGAACGAGCATGTGCCTGGGGGACAGGATGGGCTGTCCATCACTTCACATCTTAGATAAAGCCTTCCCTGGGGGACAAGAGCCGTAGCCAACACGAGCTCCGGGGCCAAACGCAAGAGCAGGTGGGTGAAGCTCAACAGGCTCGTGCTAAACGAGACCGGCCGGAGCAGCGACCTCCCCATACGCCTGCTCAGGTCCCGTCCCAGCCAGGGCAGCCCCGGCACACGAGACATGAGGGGAAACGCAGCCAAGAAAGCCTGGCTGGGGCAGGGCATGGGAAGGTGGCTCTTGGACACACCACCCTGCACGGCGGGAGAGCCAGAGGGGCCTCAAATCGCCCATTCTCCA